TCTCTAAGTGTAGCCCTGTGATAGACTGGTGACCTGTCCAGGTGAACCTGCCTTCACCCTGAGTCAGCTGGGATAGACTCCAGCCCCCCACGACCCTGGGTGAGTGTATAGATAACACTGGGTTACAAAAAAATACTTTTTTGAAGGTGTCTAGGATTTTTTTAAAAACTGATTTAGGACATTTTTGCAGCGCTGAATCCAAAAATGACATCTGCTTTTCTGTAGCAGGTCAGGTTTTTATGCCAACTCGATTTTAAAAAATTGATTTTACCACTAAATCGAAGACATTTTTTGACATTAGCGACTGATTTATTTCAGTATTTCTCATATGAAATCAGATTTTAGAGGGAAAAAATCATTTTCATGAGTTAAATGATCCAAACGTTGATGAGCGTAAAAATTTGTAAAGGTCAATTTAAGTTTCATGAAAGCAAAATTTTGCCATCATTGAGCAAAACCAATGTCATTTTTGGATTCAGCACATTGCAATTGCCCACAATCAGCTCAATAAACTTGCCTTCACCCTAAAGTCAGCTGGGATAGGCTCCAGCTCCCCCACAACCCTAGTGAGGATTTAGCGGTGTATAGATAATGGATGGATGGATGGATCTAACATGTAGCCATCATCAGGAAGAATGAGAAGGATGATTCAATATTACAAGACACGACAGCACACGAAAATCCAATTTCCATCCCACACTTACAGCTAATGACCATTATACCCAGGACGAAGAGCACTCCAGCGATGACGAGTCCAGCGTATCGAAGGGACTCATAATCTGGACAACACAAATCAACAAGTCAATCACCAGCAACAAGTAATGATCATATTAAAGAAAAAAACACAACACCCCCAGAAAGGCTTCTTACCATAGGTGAAAGGTTGGTCCCATTTCTGATCTGTGAGAAGCAAAAGTAGAAAGAAAAGTATTGACTCAAGTTTGACTGTTGAACAGAAGAAGCATCTACAGGAACAAAAAAAGCGAGAGGATCACTGGGGAGCGACTGTCAGAGATGGCATGACAGATCTACTGGCTCTGCTGACACGCTGTTGATGGTGTATCAAAAGCCCCTATCTACGGTAAGCCAGCACAGCGTGAGGACACAAATATCTTATCTCGTCTTGCATAAGGTACAATCAAGCATTAATCTGTTGGCAAGAGAGGAAGTGAGGTGCTCTATTCCACCACTCTGCCATGGGTTTTGTTTAGGAAGACGGGGAATTGTGATACTGTCAGTCTGCCGCGAGATAACAATAGAACCGCAACGCCTGTGGCATGTAAGGCAACTATGGAGCGGGGAAAAAAGTTAGTTACCCCAGGCAGCAGGTTGAGCGGTCCCGGCTGTGGTGGGTTTCTTAGTTGCAGGTGGGGAGGATGTCACTGTGGATGCTGGAAAAACAGTGAAAAAACATTGACTTCTTTATACAAAAAATAAATTAAATAAATGTTTGGCCCTCTTTATTTAACATTTATATAGTCTAATATTTATAATACACAAGTTTATAATTCAATGTGAAACTCAATTTTTAATTGAATTTCTGAATATTTCAGCGGAAAGGCTCTCGGAGGAAATTTAGGCCGACGACGCTTTTTAAAGTATATCAGCGCTCTCTTTGTCTCTATCACTCTCTCTTTCTCCCCAGTGCTGTAAAACGCAGCAGAAATACTCCCTTACATATCTCAACAAGGACAGGGAGTTTAACATTTTCTAATTACCTCATAATTAGTTTCTGCATTTGTGATGGGGAAAGCGTACTCTAAGCCTTTTCTTTTTTTTTCTGTAGCTGTGAGGGGATGTTACAGTCTGCTGGAGAGCTTCGTTGGGTTCATCTACGAGCCCAACTCCACCAGCTGGGTGTCGAAGCGTTTAAGGAGGAAGGTGAAACCAGAGAGTTTTACCTGGACTGGATGTGATATTCGGTTTTGCCGTCCCCGCAGTGGGAGCTAAAGGGAAGGACATAGACAGGAGACACATCAGGTTTACGTGAGTGAAACGAAGGGTGTTTCATACAGCGACACACACACACACACACACGCACCTACTATCTGCTAAAGTCTTGATTTCTGATGTAGTCTTGTTAATGTTCTGTTTTGTGGTTTGCTCACCAGCAGGGAAGGAAGCAGGTGACTGTGGTTTCTAGTGGCTGCCCTTCGCCCCGCAAAATGTTGACGATTTTTAAAAAATTCAGTATCGATTTATTTTCAGATTGGCCACCTGATCTCTGGACTTGACCATGAAAACTAGTAAGAAAAAACTCCTGCGCTGTAGGAATGCGGTATTTATTGATCTGTGATCACTTCTTTTCCAATTCATTTCTATGGGAGTCAGGGCTTTTTGGAGCCAGCAGCTAGCGGACGTAGTGATACTGCAGGTTTTTGACACTTCCGGGTTCATTTTTCAGGGCCGGTTGCTACGTCCATCTTTTATACAGTCTATGCTACAACACAATGGCTGTGTCCGAAATCACTCCCTATGCCCTACATAGTGCACTATATAGGGTGCACGCCATTTTGTAGGGGTGTCCAAATGCTAAGTTACAAATGTTACACCCTAAATAGTGCACTCAAAATATCCCACAATGCACCGTAAAAAGTAGTGTACAGCCGATGGTCACTAACCGAGCAATATGGACCCGTCATGCATTGCGCAAAAGGAAATGAAAATGGAGATGAACAAGAGCGCAGAAAAATTCCTGTTTGTTTTGTTAAATTTTATTTTACCCGGACAGTGAGCGTCGCTAAAATTGCGGCGCTCGGTTGTGATTTGGACACACAACACCACTTTATTTAAATTGCTTTTAGTTACTGGATCCTGAAGAGACGCTCTCTCATCTGGTATGTACAGCAAAATGACAATAAACTTGATTTAATTAGATTTCTTAGCTACGCAATAAACTGTTCATTTGATGTGTTTGTACTACGCTGTTGCAGCACAAATCACGTAATTAATAGCTCGAGTAGTGTCTGAAATGATACTTTGCCGAGGTGCTCCCTATATAGTGATCACTACATAGTGATCACTATATAGGGAGTAGGGAGTGAGTGGGTGATTTCGAACACAGCTAATGTTATGGGTGAGCGCGTGCACCGTACCAAGATGGCCGCCAATGTGGCCGTGTGATTCCATTGGCCGGCAGCGCGGACGAGACATCTAGCCTTTATTTTATACATCTATGGTGGTAAATAACTGTACAACACTTACACCATCAGTATTTTTGTCTTTTTGATATTTTAAGTGCTACCAAAACTGTTTTAGATTATTTTTTTCAAGTTTAAGTGATATTTTCAACTCATTGCAGGAACGCTACTTTTACGTTAGATTGACAGATTATTACTATAAGATGAGATAAACCTCTTCGATCTCTTACAGGGGAAATTAAATGTTTCTGCAGCTAGATACGAATAAGGCAAAAAATAAAAAATACAGATGAGACTAAAAGTAAAGACTGTGCACAGCTTTCACGTGCACAGATGAGGCCTGATGAATTTTAACTTTAATTTGACATTTCGTGCATGGGCAGGATTTGTACTTACGCACGATTTTAATATTTCTCTCCTCACCCAAGAGATAAAAAAAAAAAACATAAACCTAAAGACATGACCTTTAGGAAAAAAGATTAAATAGACAAATAAAATTGGATGTACCTCGGTAGATAATGAAGTAAGTAGGTGGATAGAACAGCATACAAAAAAGCTTAGCTCCACCTTGAGTGTTCACAAAATGAAAAATACTAATGTCTGATGCATTAATAACTCAAAAATAATCAGCAAAAATAATCCAACTGACTAATATTGCTATTTATTATTACTGTATAAGACTCATCCATGTTGGATAATGACAATAATAATCAGCAGCTGTAATAAGCTGTATTATATGATTATATTTAGGCATTATACTAATTTATATAACAATATAATAGCATTTTATTAGCTTTAATACTTAAAAACTTAACCATTTTTAACATAAGAGATGTTTTGCAGGACTTTTACTTGGAACAGTATTTTTATACTGCAGTGGTGCTACCTGGTGTAGTTAAGTTAAGGATTTGAGTATTTCATTTTTGTGAGGTGTGTAACTAGATAAGATAAGATAAGATAACATAAGATGAAGGGGGGTTGCATGTTACTCGTGCTAAATACAAATAAGGCATTGATAAAGGACAGGATGTACAATAAGGGCAAAAATAAAGATATAGATAGAATTTTTACTCTTTAACTTTAACTAATAGTCATGATAAGCTTATAAGAGGATAGATAGATAGATAGATAGATAGATAGATAGATAGATAGATAGATAGACCTAGTACCTGCTGAAGTCTTGATTTCTGATGTAGGCTTGTTAATGTTCTGTTTTGTGGTTTGCTCATTAGCAGGGGAGGTTTCCCCGGCGTCTCTGATGACTCTGGTTTCCGCTCTGAGGTCTGTTAGACACAGAAAGCAACGCACGACATGACCTTTAGCAACACAACTGGTTAGATAGATAGATAGATAGATAGATAGATAGATAGATAGATAGATAGATAGATAG